AAAGTGGTACTACTTTATAAGCAGACGTACCAATGTACACTATCTGGAATCTAATTAATCAAAAGTGCGATTTTTTAGAAACCTTGAAATTACATTGATTTTTCTTATTAGAAGTATTCGGTGGCAACTTCCTATTCCTGCTTTGAAGGAGAGATCAGTGAATCCCGACTGTGGCCGAATTACCTGTAACACAACCAAACTCTTTCGGTTCGTTTTCAAATTACATGGCGTAATGGACCGTGTTGGAGGTGCAAAATCCTAGTTCACTACTTCGGCAGCAAGGATGTTGCTTGGTAAGATCCTATTTCCTGGCCGCACCTGTTAGGGGCTAGGGTTAGGCGTTAGGGGGTTAGTGTTAAACCCCCCTGTTACCACCGGTCCCGTATGACGGGCGGCTGGAGCTTGTCCACTGCGAGTGCTTTAGTACAAACCGCCATCCGGTACGCGCGACTACTCGCCCGAACATCGGAAACACTGTCAAGACTGTCGGGGACAGATATTTGTTTTTTTAAAGTTATTTCCGCCGAAAGAAGTTACGAGGGATCTTTAATACGTTCAGCAGTAGACGGGTGTTGGGTGCTATGACCTGAAGAATCAACTCAGGCTAAATCGCATAGGCGCCTAAACAGACCTTAAGGTTTGAAGCACTTTGTCTCCGGTATGAAGCTGAAGTAGGCAAGCAGGGCAGGATTTAATGGTACCAAAAAAGTTCGCGACGGCTCGTCAGCTGCGTCCTGTCGCTTCATAACATAGATAGTGAGTGAGAAGAATACAACAGATTTGAATTCGGGCAGAAAATAAATGCAGAAAGAACAAGGTCATGGTTTGGGTAAAGCTGGCTAATCGATAAAATCAGTAACTCAAACACAGTATGGGAAAATAGCGTTAACGAGCAAAAAGGAATGGGAAGCGAAAATAATTGAGTTGAAGGCTACCATGGTAAGGCTAGGCTAACCACGTGCTTTAACGTTTTACAAAGATCTGGTTTCACCTGCCGTATATAGGCCGCCGGCTAGTTCGCAGTTGGTAGCCAGGAATGGGAAGCGGACGGCGACCTTAACCCTAGCCTTAACCCCGACCCTAAACATTAACCGTTAACCCTAACGGCAACCCCAACCCTAACCCTAACCGAAATCGTAAACGTAACCGTAGCCTTTAGACATAGCCGCAACTGAAAAACCTAACCGTAATACTGTAACCTAATCGTATGTTCAAACCCTAGCCGTAACCCGAAAACCTAAGCCTAAAGGCATAATTCTAACCTGAACGTCGGAAACCATTAACCGGCACCCTCATCCTAACCTCAAACGTAAAACGCAAGCCGAATGGGTCAGATGTGATAATAGAGCCCCACAAAATAGCCGCAGTAAACATCCCCCCGCCCCGCCACCTGTAATACGGGTCCTGACTACCAACTGCGATCTAACTAGGTCGCCTCCAGGTAACGCAATGTCCGAGTTGTTCGGGCACAAGCGTGTGTGGGCTTTTGGCTACTGCCTGTGCTGTTAGTATGAAATCACCTTACCCTAAAGTATACTACTAGCTACCTGTCGACAGTTAATGATTATTACGCGGTTGTTCGCTATGGCTGATTGACTTCGGCCCAAAGAGTCATGCATAAAACTTGGGTCTGAGCCTATAGACCTTACATGTACTGATCTACTCCAAGTTCTCAGTTAAGTAAAAAGTAACAAATCCAAAGAAATCCTGTCTTCCCCTTGGTTTCTATCACAGTTTGGTAAGATTGAAATATGACCACACCCTCCCTTTAAATCCATACACAGTTTTCTGGAACGAGAACCCTTGTGCCCTTGAATGCAGTTGAATTTATCTCACGAACATTACCAGTGTCTACAACTGTTCCCTCAGAAATCGGTTACACTTATCCTGTTTGCACACTACTTAGTTTACAGTTTTTTTTCACTCAAACGCAGCTGTTAACCGTGAACAGAAATCAACGTAATTGGTAATTCGCTTTATGCCACTGTATGTTGACACTAGTCCCGGACGTGAGGACGATTCTCGACTCAACTGGTCGTTCTTCCCAGGCCATTTGTCAACTGTTCTTCTCAGGTTGGCCTTCTGAGCTAGTTTAACTCAACTGAGGTCTTCCGTGAGGCATTACTTGCTGAATCAAAGGTTAACTTGTATATGCTCCTATAAATAACCAAAAGACAATGTGTGCGACCAGTCAGGCATGGTGTGGTGTCATGAAGTGGCGATAATGCCAGGACTTTGTTAAGTTGGCAATTTATAGCGTGATTCATACCATAGCTGTTCTACTATCGCGCGATCCCTACCTTAATAGGTACTCATCGAAAAATCGAGATCGGATTTAAAATGCGTTCGTATATAGGCAGAATGCCATTACCGACAAAGACAAGGGAGGCTGGAATGGCCATTTCTGGCTTATTAGCCGTCGTCAGACAGCCACGCCCAAACCCGAAGTGTGGAACGCCCGAGCCTCGAACTCGCGACCTGTTGGTTTAGAAGTCCACGCCTCTACCCACCGGGCCACGAGCCAGTTGTCCTGTCGGTTCGTATATATTGCGAAAATCAAATCCGAATTAACTAGCAACGATTAAGCAACAAATACTTTTTCTTAAATATCGCATGGGTTTCCAACGAATTATCTCCTTCCAAAACACGCCATTTGTGCTCATCCAGGTGACCCTGATGTAAATGATGTGAAACTCTACGATTTTTCTTCAAAATCTCAATCTTGCTGTCTAACCAAGTCCTCCCGATCTGCTGGGTGTGCGCACGTGTATTCGGATAAACGTAATTTTTTGGTGATCGTAGCCAGTTTGATCAGGTCGCCGATAAGCTGGTCATTCGCCAGAACGTATTGTTGAACCTGTTTCTACTTCGTGTTCCAAGATAGGGCTAAACGTGGCTGCAGCCTTCTTGTGTGTGTATAAGTACCTTACATCGGTACTCTGAGACAATCCAAAGACCTGTGGACCATCAATGCGTGAGCCGTGGTTCAGTTGATCCTGTACTGGATCGCCATCGTTCTCTTCGGCAGATGGTCACGACTGTACTTACGGCGACCTGAAAATGTGGCCTCGTCGATTTATAATGGTGTCTCCCTGCGTCCCTTTCAGCTTTTCTTTCCTAATGACGGATACCATTCGGGAGCCGAGTTCGAGGCAGTAACTGAACCACTCAACCACACTATTTAGGGATCTACCAATGGGCTTTGACACTTCTTCCAGTGGCATTCTGCTGATCCAGAGATACACTGGCTCCAAAATGCCGCAGAGCTTCGAATTACCGTAGAGTCTTCCGCTCAAATCACAATGATGGAAGAAGTCACTCCCTTTGCTTGCTGACCAGGTAGACTTGTAACTCTTTCTCCTGCACCTCTATAAGTTCTTGAGAATCATCGGTCAATCGCATTACCACGAGATCATGTATGAGGAGTTATCGTGATGCCGCTTCTTCACTGTGTATCACTTCAGTACAAAACCCTCGTAGCAACCTTTTGAAGGGTATGCTGAAGTGGGAACAAATAATGAAGGTAGGAATTACGCTTTAGTAGCACCAAAACTTGTATATGGCGAATGGAAGGCAGTGGCAAAATAATTCGGCTTGCTCAATGTAACTTAAGTAATTTAGTTTGCTTAATTAGTCTTGCCAATTTCGCGTTGATTACATGAAGTAAAACCGTCCAATAGCTTTTGGGCGTGAGTATCAACATCGTCGCGTAGAAAAAGTAGAGTTTTTGCTATCAGGGTTGGATCCGGGCCTCCTGAATGACAGCACAGTCCTTCAAGTCAATAGAAGAGCAAGTCATCAGACAGGTCGTTGTTGCAAATTTGGTAAGAATAGTAATTTGCCAGCTGCCCAGGCAACTTCATCCCAGATGTGTTTGAGGCTTAGTTTTTAAAAAATGGGTCAATTACTAGATACACATAAAAGTACTAGTTGTCATGTTGAATCGATCTCTGACATTGATTATAAGAGTGGTAGCTACGGCGATAATTTCATGTGACGATCAAATGGCCAGACGATGGTAGACTAACTGTGGGACCAATGCGTCCGTCGTTTTCCGCGAATTCACACGAGGGGTAAACCAGAAGTGTCGACACCTAACAAGTCAAAGACGCTGTTTCCTTACCCCCACCCCAAAAATCCTTTGCTGCAGACTTGTCGATAAAGCTGGGAGTCCGGCTCCATCTGATCCCCCCACCCTCGCCAGCACGGCAGAGCAGTCACGAGTGCGGCTGGGGGAATCCACAGGCCGTGGGTGTGGGAACAGCGGTCGTAGGCTGTAGTGACCTTGAGGTACACCGGCGTTGGGCTGAGACCTCTAAGTATTGATTGCTCGTATCGCGATTGGCGCCTGCCGGCAGATCTGACGCCGACGCGACAATGCCATATCCATCCCCGGGCCCGGCCTTCAGTTGACTTGACGAGAGTGCCGAGATTGGAGGTCCGGAAAAACTCGGCGCCTGCCTCTTATGTCTATTTTAGCCCCACCTTCCTGACGCCTCCCAGGGCGAAATGGTGAGCGCATTTTCATGTCCTTGATTAATGCCTGTGCACACACAGTCAAGCAGAGTTTAAGTGTCTCCATGGCCCTTTTTTCTAGGCTGTAGTAATTTTTCATTTTAACGAAGGCCATTCTCTCCCTCTCTCTCGTTGTGTCGCGAACAATGTTTATTTCCCCATACACTCAGTAACCTAATGACAGGCTTGGTGCGTTGGACAGTGTGTGTGCCTTCGTCTCCGCAGCACGCACCAGTGTCGAATGTAATGTTTTTCTTGGTTAGTTCAGGGAAAAGACAGTGGGGGCTAGTGGGGGTGGGTCAATTGCGCTGCTGAGGGTTTGCAGTCTGCGGTCTCCGGAGACCTGCTTCAGAACAAGACGTAAACCGCACGAGCACGGCAGAGATGAGGATCGCTATGCTTCATTGAGCGAGTTTCGGTCCCCGGGGTACCCTAAGGGAACGGGACCGGAGTCTTAAAGGTGGTGTGTAACGTTTAAGGCCCAGGATTTTTTTAAACTTAGGACCGACATCCGCAAATCTCGAAGGTGAACTTACTGCGTCAAACTTACACTTTGAACACCATCATCGACGGTGTTTGGGAATGCCTTTGTTTTCTCAAATAAGCGGCGCAGTACCTCATACTTTTGGCCGGTATGTCGACAGTTGAGGGCGGTTTCTTTTTACGAGTCCTGTAGGCTGTGAGATAATCGCATGACACGATCTTTTCCTTAATTTGGGTTGATTTCGGATTTCCACCGGCGTAACACGAGCCTCTCCCCCCGTCTGACGCGACGGAAATTGTCATAGGAGTGCAGGGCGGCTATCGCGACTGTCTATACGCGTATCAATTGAACGGTGTCCTTCTGAGTGGGTAACAGTTTGAGATAGCGATTAAAGATTCTGCAAACTTCTCTCTTTCTCTCCCTCTCGTCCCATTACCAGAATCACGTGATGCTATGTCCGGTGTACACTGACTTTTTTTTACTGCGGTACCGCTCGTCAGTTTGTGTGAACACACCGGGTTCTTGGAAGTATTTGGAGGAGGCCACTCACTGTCAAGGCCTGCGTGTGGCGTTTATTAGTCCTTCCACTCCTACGTTTTGAGAAATGTGGAAAATCGAAAGAACCCAGAACGGGGTCAGACGAAGAAGAAGTTCGGCAAAAGGAACCCTAGTTCAAATTTTTCAAGACGAGTATGTAAGTATTTAGGCTGCATTACATCTCTTGTAAAGTCGTGATGAGACCAGGAATTAAACGCTAAGTGGAAAGCAAATTTCTTCAGTGTTCATTTGGAAAGTACATCGCGTCCCCTT